CTAGTTTTATGTAACTGTTCCTCTTCCTTCTCTGTTCATTAATATGGCATATGTTTGTTTTATGATAACTTTGAGCAGCAACAGATATGGTAACATCAGTGGCAGGTTACTCTAGTGGTTTTTTTGATTGAACTTATCTACCACTATTTTCACAATCTAATATCTGTGTATATAGAACTAAGCGAGTAGCTGTCACACCTATTCCTGGTAAACGTCGATACTGCCTATGAATAGGATGTAAACATTTTTGTTATAATTTTCGTCTGTGTAATTACTTTTTTTTTTCCTCTTGCAGTTGCCCTACGGATGCAAGAATGATCTGTTTGTAACACACCTTTGCTTATATATCTAGTCAATTTTATTTAACTCAGTTACTTTCAAACTACATGTTTCTTCTGCTAACTTAAGCTCGGTTGTTACCACTCATTATACTTTTTGAGAAGTTGAGTATGTTTCTTAGTGAATCTGCAAATGTTCCCGCAGTATATGTCTGGTCCTGTTGCTGCAACCTTTTTCGTGATGTTTTCTCACAGTTTATTTTAATCAAGTTGGCTAAGCTTACAGCTTCTACTGAGTGCAATGTAAAACTTGGAAGATTTATGAAAATAAACCCTATCTCAACAAATCTTTTGGATTCCTCTAAGCGTCCTACTTTATGGTCAGTGACAGGTGCCTCTTAGAGGGCCACTAAAAAAGTTAGAACAAGTTAGAACGACATGGATAGGACACCCATGTCATAAAATGCATTTTCCTTGAAAAAAAAAATAAAGTATAACTATTTAGATTATAATGCAATTAAATGCAAAGGTGCAAGCGAGCTGGACAAGAATGACGAAAATAATCCCTGGAGAAGGGGAACAAGAGGGACAAAGGACAAACGCAAATCTCCAAACACAGCTAGGTGACTGGTGAGCGACCGGGTGCAAGACTTAGGGTGCAAGACTCATTTTGGCAAGACTGATTTTACATGGTTGCCTGAAAAGTGGTTGCTATTTCAAGGAGATAGCTTTCTTTTTGTAACTTCCTGTTGGCTGGAAGGAAGTGATGGAGACGGATGTGCATACTTTTCCCAGCAACCCCTGCTTCCTTCTCTGCTTGCCACGAGCAGATGCGAGAGAGAAAAGTAGAGTGGAGGACTGCTTTAAATTGTGTCACAAAGTGAAAATATTGCTGAAATTATACTGTCTGGGGGGGGGGGGGGGCATGCATCTTGTGATATGCATGTTCTATTAGTCAGTCTTCTGCTGTAGAGAGTAGATAATCCACTCCAAAATAATTCAAAATCTTGCAATTGGAGAAAAAATTGTAGAAGTTATCATGCAAATCAATTGCCCAATGGTTGGGGATACTGGTAATCCATGAAACCTTTTACTTTTGTGGGTTGTGAAAGTTTAATATAAAAGAAATGAAAATCAACACTAATTAATTTCGAAATATTGAGTCTGAATAGTTACAGTGCTGTCTCCACTATGCTCGTTTCACTTTAAGTTAAAGCACAGTGAATGGTATGGGCCATCCCGGCTGATCCAGCGCCGGAAGAGTATCACATGACTTTCCAGTTGTGTGGAACGGGAGGCAGAGCTCAAAGTCGCATCAGACTTGACGCTAAATTGACTGGGATGGCTCGTAGTGTTTGCTGCGCTTCAACTGAAGGTGAAACGGAGTATAGCTGCTAAATTTGGCTTTGGAGTTCCGTGAGGCATATATATTACAGGCTACATTTCTGGTAACCGACATGTTGTCAACAAGTGCTGTGCTCAACAGTTACTAAGGTGTCAACTTGGGTATTAAGGCAACTTGGGACAAACATTTTATCTTCAATATACCCATTCATTAGCTAAATGTGTCTAGCCTTTGTTGGTTATAAGTGCTAATTATTTTGGGAATTAAAATCAATGTTTGTCCTTTAAGATCATCAGAAGTTCTTTATTTCTCTGTCACGTAAGAAAGATTTTTTTTTTCCCTCACAAAGTTTACTTCACAATTAGGCTAAATGTCTTTTTTAGTGACTTCTCTGCTCAGAAAATTCTTGTGCAAGAACATTGGAGTGACAAACATCTGAAAGTTAAACATTTTGATTGGCTGAAAAAAGTTTAAAAAAAAGAGGAGCTTTTTATAAAAGCTATTACCTCGAAATAAAACTGGGATAGATCGACATGATTGAAAGCAGATTACAGAAAAGAGTATTCACGTATTCTCAAGTGAAGTGAATAACTTCTTAGAGCGGTTCAGCAGCAGTGCTATTTGATGAACGACTTTCACACAGGCGAAGGTGGGGTGAAATCGCTGAGAGAGCTAGCCTGCGACTAATTTGCCCGAGACGAGGAAAGATAGAAACGAAGCTAGCACACTGCGGCTATGTATATGTGCTTGTCCGTTTTTAGCTGTCCTTGTTGTGGGTAAATTGATTTTTTTATAATGTAGCTCATGTAGAAAAGTAGTGGTCAATTGGCAATATATTGGGTGTCTCGAATAGTGGCCAGTCTCTTTAAATCGACCACAAAATTCGGTTTCTTAACCTGTCGCGCTAGGATTTTGTGCACCGTTGCCCACAGGTGGTGTATTTTTTTCTATAAAAATTGCAAAGAGCGAACTAACTGAGGAAAAAATAAAGAAAGAAAAAGGCTTAACTGCTATGGAAATGCAGCGAAGCCAACGGTCTTCAAAAATAGGGCGCCCTATTGTTTGAAGACTGGTGCCTTCGCTGAATTTCCAAAGGAGTTAACCCTTTTTCTTTCTTTACTTTTTCCTCTGGTAAGTTCGCTCTTTGCAATTTTTTTAATAAAAAAAGATGCACCACCTGTGGGCAACGCTGCAAAAACTCCTAGCGCAATATGTTAAGAAACCAAATTTCGCGGTTGATTTAAAGAGCCTGGCTGCTACTTGAGACACCAAGCTAATGTTACACGAATGTTGAGGACAAAACATACCACAAATGTTTGCTGTGTGGTCATTGGAAATATATAAACAATGTTAATAAATTATGTTCCACTAATGTTGAGGGCATAACATACCACAAATGTTGAGGGCATAACATAGCACAAATGTTGAGGGCATAACATAGCACAAATGTTTACTGTGATGTTACGGGAATGTTTTCAGATAACGTTCCAGCGACATGACATTTTGCGGACATTAGCCACGTATACACAACGTTGGCGGACCACATTCCAGTAACATTGTGGCAACATTCGGTGCTACTAGGGCTCGTGCTAAGCACGTGCCGACGGGAGCGTTTACCAGCTTTGTATCGCACCGAACTGTTGCTCATGGCATACGATATGTACCTGACGGCACGTGAGCAGCGTTACATCAGCGCTTCGCTGCATGTGAGAACCGGCCTTAACAATCACCATCCACGCGATCTTTTATGCAGTGAAGAGCGACAGTAGCTATACATATGCATAAATAATTTCAGATAAAAATAAGCTCGACCGTGCCCTCTTTCCCCGTATTGTTTTCTTTAAAGTCCGAAATATCTGGGAGGGGGGCAGGGGAGAGACTGGAGCCCCCCCCCCCCCCCTGCTTTTCCTCTTCCGACGCCACTGGTATGGTAGAACGCTCCTCGACCTCAAGTTGCATCAGCGTCTGTGCTTTTTGCTCGACGTTTCTTCCGCCCCAGAAAATAAACCTCCAAAGCAAGGTGCAGGCGAGTTGGTGTATGTTGATCATGATGCAAAATTCCGAGACTGGGAATGAAATTCAAAAGAAATAGTGTAAGAAGAAAGAAAAAAGGGGACAGGACAAAGTCTCAAACTCAAACGTTATTCCTGAGCTGAGTTATCAGCTGAGTTGAGTTTGAGACGTTGTCCTGGGGTGAGTTTGAGACGTTGTCCTGTCCCCTTTTTTCTGTCTTCTTACACTTTTTCTTTCAAATTTCATTCCCAGTCTCAGGATTTTGCATCCTGTACAAACTAAACTTAATATATGCCAGCGTCACTCGGGCGGCGTTCGATCGGATTACTACCAGCGTGCAAGGGGGTAGTGGGGCAGTTTGCCAGATCACTTCAAGGTTTTTGTGAACCTCAACCACCTGCCTGCACCTGGCCGTTTCGAACGATGAGTATCGTTAAACAGTGCGTTTGTAGGATCACTACTTCGTAATGCACGTTAATGACCACCCCGGGCTGGCAGTCACAATTACTGATCTATCGTTACACGTCACTGGACTGGCAAATATTCCAGCACATCCGGGGCACTCGTCGTCTCATTTAATTGCCTGACCAACTTCGCGCAGTCTAAATATCACACCCGAACTTTTCTAAACCTGATTTCGTGAAAACCAGTGAGGCGTGAAAACGTTATTTGAAAATGAAACTGTGCGGAACATGAAAACCGGACTTCGAACTTTGCGCACTTGGACTTTAAAAAAAATCGGAAACCTTCGAAGTTTCTTCTTTTTTTTTTTTTTCGAATTTAGCATTAAAGGAGAATCGAACCCTTCGACCTTTTCGACCTTTATGTAAAAAGAAAATCGAAATTCTTCGAATTTGTCGAACTTTATGTTTTTCAAAATTCGAAACGTTCGAAGTTTTCGAATTTTAGATCCAAAGAAAAATCGAAACAATCGATCTCTCGAATTTCAAATAAGGAAAGTTCGAAGTCTTCGAATTTATCGAACCTGAAGTAAACAAATATTCGAAATAATCGAACCCAAACTTTTAGAAACCGTGAAAGCTTCGAATTTTTCAATTTCGAAACCGCACGATTTTGGAAAGTTGCGAATTTTTCGAATTCGCAACTTTCGACCCTACGGTCGAAAATATCGAAACTTTTCGAAATCGAACATCAGTTTGGTTCAAAAATATCGAAACCTTTCGAATTCGAACCTAGGGTCCTAGGTGTCCTAGGGCACCCAGGGTGGTTCGCGGCATCAGTTGTCATGCCCTCCTACGGCTCCTACGCTTCTATCCTCCTTGTTTAGAACCATAGAGTTATTATAATAACTCTATGTTTAGAACACAGCCGAAGGCTCGTGACCACCTCGGGACCTTCCCAAATACGTGACGTCTTCGAAAATATGGCAGCGCCCAGTGTGAGTGGTCTGAGCGGTATGAGCGGCGTGAAAGTGTGAGATCTGAGAGGCTGAGAGACCTCGGTCACCTCGGCCTCGGTGCCTCGGTCGGAGTGGGTCGGAAATGCGCGGGTAGTCTGATCCACAGCGGTCGGATCTGAATATGTATGACTGGGATTAAGCTCATGAAATAGCGAGATTTTTTCACGCCTTTCGCTCGAGATCAGACATAATTTGTCGCTGCTGCCGTGCTCCAAGTGGATCAAATCACGAACTTCTCTTCGGATATCGCTACGACAAAGGTTTCACATTCTCATGCCTGTTTTTGAGCATCGGAATCTCCGAGATCTGTTGCGAAACGTATGCCTCGCTCGCCTCGCTCGTGTAATTTTTTCCTCAGAACCGCAGCTGCCAGCTTGCCGGGTAAATCAATCGCGGTAGTTGCTCAAAGGCTAATCCAAACGCTCCTTTACTTGATCAGTTCGTTCCCGGCGATGAGAAACGTTTCTTGTGACCAACTGGTTAACAGCTTTGCCTGAGGCCGGTATCGTAAAAACACCAAGTATATCTTTTTTCTTTGTGTCTCCCGTAAAACATATGCACCCCTTTTCGCTTTCCGGTACAAAAAATGTCTGAAGGCAAAAGTCGTGTGTCATGGTTTCGAGCACTGTGACCGCAAAATTCAAACAATGAATTGACCTTCTCTGGCCAAGCATAAGCTGCATAAGATGCTTGGATGCTAACCTGCTTTTGTGGGTTCTTTTGTAAAGCACAGATTTTTATGTTCATTCCTGGAGATTGGGTCTTACAGATCACGAGCATTTAATTCCTGGCATGTGATATACACCAACGATCACAAGTGAGCATTTGTACTTCACTGGCAAAAGTAAGCAGTATGGACTTACCACACAAAACAATAATACAATAAATTTAACTTTGTTGTATCATGTTTACAGTCCTCCTGAAGGTCTACCAAAGGAAACCTAGAATTGGTGGTATTCCTAACTGACATAGGCTGCATCACAGAAAGCTTGAACTCTACTCTGTCAAATAGACCGACATGCTGTTCACACACAAATCTGTGTTTCCCTACACCAGCAGGTGTGGGCACTGCACGTGCGTAGAAGCGAGATTCGTATGAAGTGAATCGTCAACACATGAGCCGCGCCGACAGCAGTTCCACCACAGCAGCCTGGCCCTGACGTCAGAGTCGTGTGTTGGTGTATAGGAAGTATTTATATGTGGTGACTAGTGCAATCTATGGGCAGGATAACTTATCCTTTGGAAAGAATGACAACTTCAGTTTTGTTAAATTAATGTGGTGTAAGTTTACTTTCAGTACAGTCAACTGCAATGTACACAGCTGTGGGGATCAGTGAATTAACTTTATATACCCTTCTACAGCCTTTCCGTTCAGTCAACTCTTAGCAAGCTCTCTTGGGCTCGTGTTGCTACTCGTCTGTCGACAACAAACCAGCTCACCTGCACTTCACAAACTCTTGCACGTTGCTCCTTGGTGTCGAGAAGCAAAACATTTTTTTATTTTTGTGTGCAAATAAATATTTTCATCTCATTAGTTGTGGGAATTTCAACCAAAGGTGCAGGTCTAGAGGCAAAAGTGTAGCACTTGGAGTAAAGGGGGACCTCCTTTCATGAATTGCAACCGAATAAGCCAATTTCAAGTCTCCAGAACTGTCCCTGAGATTCATACAAAAAGGTCTGCTTCCCTCTCTTGTTGTAGAGGCCCATGGCTTCCCAAATGCTCCACAGAGCTCTTGAAATGTAATATAAATATGTACTTCCCACCACTTTGCATAACTGATAATCATTGACTCTGCAGGTCACAAGAAGCATGGGTCCCCGAATTGCAGTTTTGGGAGCTGGTATTGTTGGACTCTCGACTGCCCTGTGTCTGCAGGAAACCATCCCAAAGGTTTCTGTGACTGTGATTGCCGACCAGTTCATTGAAGACACGCTGAGCTTCGGAGCTGGCGGTTTCTTCCGTCCTGATCTGAACATTGGACCGACTTATGACGTGACCAGGTGCCAGGTCCAAACTTTCCATCCAGGCATGTACCATGAGGAAGAAGAAAGCGGATGAGCAGTGCACGACACTGTTAACCCAGATGTGGCATTGGCACTTTCTTGCATATCACTTGTATATGTTGACATTGAACACCAAACTTTTAACGGAAAAGTGGTGATTGTTGCATTAAACTTTGCTACCTAAGTCAGTGCCACACATGCACAATCCTTCGCACATAGTTTCGATGGCAGCCATTTAACCAGGTGAGAAAAATAGGCAAGCCAATGATTGTGCATTTGACTAACTACTAAGCTAAGCTGACAAATTCTCTGCTTCTCTTCTCCCTCACCTCTGTGTACTCCCTGCAACTATATGTACAGGGTGTGTGATATTAATTCAAACAGATTAAAAAAAAAAAAAAAAGGGGGGTGACCAATACATGAATTCTTTCTCTTGTATAAGGGAAACAGCATGTACAACAAAGACAAAGGAAAGGAACACACACCTCAGGACGAGTGCTGATTCGCTACTAAATGTTTTAGTGAAAACTGAAAAAAAGGCAAACAGAATGAAGACACACAACCACACGTGGACCGTCTAAACTGTCTCATCACATTGGGGCGTCCGCTACAGTATCAATGCTTCGCCTAAGGAGTGGGTAAGTGGAGCGTTGATAGCGGATGCCACAATATGATGAGACAGTTTTTGGTGGTGCAAGGGTGGTTGAGTGTCTTCTTTCTGATTACCTCTGTTCTGTTTTCACAATTAAACATTTCGTTGTGAGTCAGTACTTGTCCTGTGTTGTATGTTCCTTTCCTTTGACTTTGTTGTTTTGTGCTGTTACACCTACACCACGTTTAACTTCCACCAACTAGCACAGCTCTTTACATTGTTACAGAATTCTATCTTCACTGCATGTCTATCAGGCTTGGTGGACAATAGTTAGGAGGATAGCCATCATATCAACATGTTAATAAACTTTTTGAGATGGTTTAATGAGCATGTTGCAGTTGCACTTTTAATGGCAGTCATTATAAAAGGCTATTTAATTTTAAACAATTCGCGAAAAGCAGAGAGGGTTCTGAGATATTCATCTATCAGTTTTCACATTTTTGTTTATTTTATCTATTTATCCTAAGATTTCAGGATAATGAGTGATTTTGCATTAAAAAGCCCTAGTGAAAGACACTATGTCATTTGCTTTGTGAAAAATGGGATATGTATTTTTATATCTAATTTTAAACACGGGCAGAAATCAAAACCGAAACTTTGGCTCCATCCGGCAACATTGGCCTCGGGCCGCCAAGGGCATGGCTATCACGTGGTATGAGATGTCACGTGATTCTCTACGCGACGGCGGATGGGATTGGGGCGGGCGTGTGCCAGGTGCAAGTGTCATCTGCACCACACTCTTCACCACGTTTTGGTGTCTTTGACATTCGACAACTTCAGCACAACTGTGGCATAAGTCTGCGGACGTATTGACTGTAGTGTGGATGAAACTCCGAGAGTCAGTTATCACAAACGGTGAGACGAAGACGGCGGTTGTGACGTGGGAGACGGCGGTAACGGCGGGACCACGGCGGGGTGGCGAGACGGCTCCCAAGAAGTGTGCTGCGCAGCCGCGTTACGCCAATCACCTGGACACCGCTGAGCGCCGGGAGGAAGCGTTGCGGACGTCACCTATTACGCTTGCCTGGAAAAGTAAAAGCAAGCAAAAGGGGGCAATGTGATGACGGTTAGCTCAATGTTGGCTATGCCCACGCCGTAGCGTTGACTGCACTGTTGGTTGCGCCTGAATTCACCCGCTTGAGTCAGCCGATTTCGGCAACTTGGCGAGTTGCGAACTTTGCCGGACCGTTTAAGAAACATTAAAACAGAACTATGTCATAATAATTGATGTGTGGTCTTCCTAGGCGATACTGAAAAGGATGGCATTGTTTTTTTAAAAACAAAAATGAAGTAGAGTTGCCCTTTAAGCGCTGTTCACACACTTATAACCGACTATGACCGAGAGAGACAAAACCGGTTTTTAAGCCTCTTGCAACGACAGAGGACCGGATGCACTGCTGCAGAGCAGGTTGTGCGCCATTACAAGAGGCTTAAAAACTGTTCTTATCTCTCTTTGTCGTATTCAGTTGCAAGAGTGTGAACGGCGCTTTAGATGCATTAGGTTACCTAATTCCTAAAGTAGATCCACAAAGACTGCCGGAACTCCTGTCCATAAAGATGCTTACCGTAAGATACCAACGATACGTCCAATTCACAATAAGCACTCGCACACTACTTCATAAATGTTTGAAGACTAAGCAAAGGATTTATAAAGTACCCACCCCAGGCTTCTGAGCCCAACTTGCTAATTATGGTGCTCCTTGTCAGCCGCTTCTCCAAGTAGTCCATTGTAAAGTGGTGGAGCCCGCCCTATTGGTGCCCTTCCGCACTTTTGCTCTGTGACTTAACAAGCATCCATCCCCAAGTTTTCGAGATTATCTTCCAATTTCGGGTGGGTGCTTGCTCGGTACTTTACAGTAGTGACATTGTTTCAGTCACCTCGTCACTATCTCTGCAGCGTGTCCTTGATGGATGCACCAACGCCATACTGCCGAGATAATGACAAGGTGCCAGAAATTTGTATGTCACTCGCCTATGCATAATGGTAGAAAAAGCTCGAGGCACCTTTTTTTACATCGAGTTTCAGAATCGGGCATTAAAACATGAAAACTGATCTGTGAATATCTCGGAGCCCTTGGCATTTTTGAAAAATCTTTAAATTGGCTTAGCCTTTAATAGTAGTAGCTGTAAATACTTCATTTGCAGGATTATCCATCAAACCATTAATTAAGAAAGTTAATTAGCAAATTTTAGCATTAGTCTACTGATTGTGACGATCGTCCTCCCATCTCATGTCTGCCAAGCCCGATACACATGCAGTGAAAATGGTATCCTGGTACCGGTCACTCCTTTTGATTTTTAAATCTGTTCTGATTAAAATCAAACATCCTGTATATTTGTCATGTTTTTTTATAGTTTGCACATAAGTGCAAACTACTTGTTAAGGCATACTGCCAGCAACAAGAGTCACAACGTTGGTACATCTCATGTGAAGTTCTTGCACTCACTTGACTGGAGCTAAGAGTTCTCTTGTTCATATGAACTTGATGCAGTCATGGCTAATTGACTCTATAGAGGCCAGGAACTTGTCACTATCACTTTTAACCTTAGACAAGTTGTGAGCAGCTTACTGCTTTTTTAAGCGCAACGGATTCCTATGCCTCCGCAATCTGAAATAATGCACAGCCCTTGTCAGTGGGCGGAAATGAACAGAATAAAGACACAGTAAAAACTGCATTCTGAAGCGCATGCCAGTCACTGTAATTGACACATGGGGTTTGAAAATAATTTGCCTACAGTCTCGAAATGAGAGGTATTCACCTAGAGCTGTTTATACGGAGGAGAGTTTGGCATTTGAGCAGACCTTGTGGCCTGCTAGAACAAGCCCACTTCGCTGTAACACAGAAAGGTATGTTGTTTTAGCGAGAGACGTGTGGTTTGTTATGCATCAAAAACACAAACTGGCAAAGGGAACTTACCATTTCTTAGTTGCCATGGTTGCTAGACAGTCAGCATCTTCCAAAGGCTACCAAACTCTTCCTGTATGAATTCACTATTGTAATTTGGTCTGTTGTGCTTTCACTGCTGCTAAGCTGGTGTTTGCAGGTCGTTTTACTGATTTTAATTTCAAGCTGTCAGAGTTGTTCTTGTGTACTCTTCATGTAAATCAGCTATAAATATAGTCATGTTGATCTCTTACTAAGGCCTTTTAGATGAAACTTTTGTAAATCACTGTTGTTAGTCACTGTTGTATAGCTCATGTGCAGCACCTTGTAGCATCTGCACAGCTTTGTTAACTTCTAAGGATGCTCCATACCCGCTCCCGGAAAAAATTGCTTCAAAGGTTTTTTTTTTTGCATTTTTCCATTTGTGCTCTGTAGTTTTTAATGTGTCTCTCTCGTACGCAGCAGTCTAACTGCTGTTAGAGTTTGTTAAACTGAATTGTTGCATCTCATATGCATCCCATCTAACTCGTTCAATTACTGCTTTTGTCCTGCAGGCGATGGTACCGTGAAACTTTCATGCACTATGAGCGACTGCTAAAGGACAACCTTGGTGAAGCAGCTGGGATCAAACGGCTTTCTGGTTTTGCGCTGAGTTCCATCAGTTCCGACGTGCTAACGGTTGGAGGAAGCTTGAATTTGCATTTTTCTACTCCTTGGACACATTTAATGCATACTGTATAGGTATTCATGCGCCCTTTGCAGAAATTCATAGGCCTCTTGTTTCTGAGTAACGGTACGTTATATGACGAATTTGAAACATATTGGTGCTGAAGCTTGACTTCTAATTGTGCCTTTTTATGGTGGCATCGCAGCATGTGGAGACCGCCGTAGAAAGCTGAAAGCTATTTGCTCCTTAAAGAATTAAAGAGCCACGAACTGGCTAATTTGTGGCTCTTGCAAGGGTCACCAGGCATTTATTTATGCCTAACAGGGCAAGTTACATGGCTGGTACGGTTCTGTGTTTTGAGGATAAATTCGATAAACTCCAAAAAACACTTGCCGGTAAAATTTTCGGCAATTCGGATGTATCTGAAAAACTCCAAATTTCAATGTACCAATGCCCCCCCCCTCCCCCCCCACCCCACCCACCCCAAAAGAAAAAAAAGGAGGGTACTTAAGTTTGGTCAGTGCACAGGGTCAATGGTCCTGAGAAAATGCCACCCCAGTTTTCTTTCAAATCTCTGCTCATTCACAAAAGGGATCTTACCTCGTCAAGTTTCATTCAGAATAACAAGTCATTGTACTTACGGGTCATGACGAGGGCCACTGTTCCGGTTTCCAGTTCGGCCCATACTATTTGGGCTTCTTAGAGGAAGGAGAAGTTGTGTTTTTGTAACATTGAAAGCTGTGAACCATAGAGATTTCATAGAGAGGGGAATAGGGGGGGAGGGGGGGGGGGCAATTGAAGCAATTATATAATACAGCCTTTACCACTCCACCCCGCACAGCCGAGAAGAAAGTTGATGGATAGGATGGGATAAACATGAGCTTTCCAGCGACCTCCAGGTGTTTATTGATTTTAAGATATGTTACATTTATCAAAGCAACACTTGTTTGCGAATTTTGTCGTGGGACAAATTAGTATATGGAAATGGCATCAATGCAAAATCCAGCTGAAGAAATATTAGTTGATACTAACTTCGTTCTCTTGAATCAAGCATACATAGAGTTAGGGTGTCAAACCGAAACTCTGTTCCGTTCGGTTCAGATTACAGTTTACATATTTCGGTTCGATTCAGGTTCAGCTCTAGAGCGGAAAAAATAACAGTTTGAACTGGTTTAAACCGGTTCATACGTACCGGTTTATATAATGGTTCAAGGATAAGTGAAAAATTTCACCGAATATTCTAAGTGGGCTACTAGAGTATAAAATAAGCACTAATTTATTGATTTTGTGTGCTCCATCTGTCTATTGGAATGTACTTCAAAAATTCAAAACGTCACATGGGACTGGGTACCAACTTTTTATTCACCAAATACAAAATTGGATATATATACTGTAAGAATGGACGAGTGCCTCTCCAAAATTGTTACATGCACACGCCATATTAATTTTACTGAAAGTGCATGCTCTGCCTTGGCTGCTTGAAACGACCGGAGGAAAAGGACATCATCTAGTATGTACGGGCTCAATCGCGTTTGTTAACATGATAAGATGTATTTTAACCTCGAGCAGGGCCTTTCCACACTGACTTGTGTGGCCAGCACTGCAAGAACAACGAGTACAAGTGAATATAATTCGGGGCGCGGGGCATTTTCTTTTCCCAAAATTCCAAGACATTGGTACCCTTGCTAATTCGGGGCACCTTTTCAAAGCCGTCCAGTAGGGTCTGAATCTCCCCAAAGATCAAAGAATGGTTGTCAAATGCTTTCAGGCAGGTGCTTTCTTTTTCCATGAGGAACGCTTCGAGGTCATCATCAGGGCAAGTGGTACTCCCCGTTGTGCACAATGCTTGAGGTTGCTTTGGCTGGGCATCTTCTTTAAGTGTGCGAAGCTTCCTCCATGCCAGTAGCAAATACTGCTTTGCTCTGGACCTCTCCTCGCTGGTTAGCGTGACATGGTATCGAGAATTAAAAAATATAGCCGCACAGAATATGTCACTTCCAAGCAAAACCTTCTCTAGCCTTTTCCTGGCAGCGGCCAGCTGATTCGCGAATGGGGTGTCAATTTTTCTATGTCGACACGTGAGCCATGCTCTGTAGAAGTCCCCCAAAGCTAGTTGGTCTCTTTGAAGCTGCACTGTTGCTTCCTCGTCCGGTTACAGGGAGGCAACTACGTTGCTGATTGATTGCCAGTCTTCTTGAGTATGGTTGTGTTCATCATCATGTGCGATAAACTCGTCGCAGAACTCTCCCAGCTCCAGCAATCGTTGCATCACGGCCCCAGTGGACATCCACCTCGTTACACAATCCAGAATGAGCTTCTGCAGATTGAGCTTCCAAAGTAGGGACAGCACGGTCTGCGACCTCATTTTTTCACAACTTTTTGGACCTTCTGTGCGATGTCGCTAGAAGCTGTAGACTTAAGAGCGTCATGTACAGCGAGCTGCAGCGCGCAGCACTCCTCGTTCCTTGAAGAAGAGGTTCCTCATCTGAAAAAGCAAAAGCTCCTTCTAATTCTTTGAGGTAGGAGGCACCATCTGAGGCGCCACTGTACGCATACACGTCTTCCTCTTCCGACTTGGACTGGTCGGATCTTGCTGCAACCGGGCCAGCAGATTCTTCTGCTAAGAGAGTGGCCGTTTTCAGCATATTGTCTCCGTTGTCTGTCGTTATACCGTAGACCTGCTCTAGGGAAACGTCGTACCTTGAAATTACTTGAAGAAATTCGCTTTTCAAATGTTCCGGGGTGTGTCACTCAAACGTTTCTTTCATTGCTAGCGTTTGCAGGTAAATTTTCCCATTTCCGACGTATTGGGCGTTCACGCCGAGAACTGCATGTTCTAGATGCTTGGCGCAGTCGATTTTCAGTGACACCAATCATGCCCTAAGGGACTCTGAGAACTCTCTTCTGGCAATTTCTGCCTTTTTTTAGACTTTCTGCTGGACGCTTTTGGCACTTACTGTAACAGAATCTTTGAGGTCCTTCAGCACGGGATCTATAATTTTCTGGAACCCGGATTCATCCATGAAACAAAATGGCCGGTTGTTTGTGGTGATGAGCTTGACACATGTTCATAACTTTGTTTCCGATTAAGTTCAGTGTTACACCAGAGCCCCATTGTACGACAGATGCCGATGTTGGCTGCTTGAACGGTGTTCTTAGCGACCGACTGGCAGCATGGCTGCTACTGGTGGACGGCTCAGGAGTGCTGCTGCCCGATGGCTTCTGTACCAGAAGCGCATAATACACTGCCTTGTGGCATTGCTGTATGTGGGGCTCAAGGTTGGCACCATGCTGTCCAGAGAGTCGCAGCCCACATTTGTTGATTTTGCATACTGACTGGTTTTTGTCAGTGTCAAATTTGAAGTGCTTCCGTATTGGGTTCTTCTTTGGCCTCACCAGCTTGAGATGGAGCCGTCGGAGCCTATACAAAAAGATCAGGGTAATCCATTTTACCGAAGCTCATTTTAGCGTAAAGTGACCAGACGTCCCGATTTAGGCGGGACAGGTCCCGGTTTTCCGGCCGTGGTCCCGCTGTCCCGCCAGCGTGCTTGTGGGACGCCGTTTTGTCCCGCTTTTGCTCCTCGAACCGCGGATAGATGAAAGATTCGGTTAAACGAAAGGATCGCACCGGTGAAAGGGTGCTTCCTCTGATCAAGGAACAAGTTATCCTCGACAGAGACGATGCTGAAGGTTAATTGGCGTACGCAAAAATAACTACATTAATACTAAAGAAATATTCCAACCAAATGTATTAGATATCTGCAAGCCACACAGTACGCAAATTGCAAGAAAAAGAGATGCACACGGTGTATACGAAATAATGAAAAGGTATGATTTGTTACCGAAATTTAAACTTTTCAAGTCTCGCAACACAATACCCTCCCCCCCCCCCCCCCCCCCTCCCAATACGTGTCCCGCTTTGGGGCCCGAGGAATATGGTCACTTTATTTTAGCGAAGGCCGGTTTAGAGACTCCCGTTTATGCGTGCGGGGACGTCAGAATGCCCAGTTCTGGTTGGTATGATTAGTGGGTAGACCTAAAGGTAGCTAGCTGGCTTTGTCTCCACTGCACTCGTCGAAAGCGCTAGAACGCAGAATGCCGGCGTCCGGCATTTGGCTTTCACATTCGAACACGTTTGACGAGTTCAGTGCACACAAAGACAGCTAGTAGCTTTAGCAATACCCACTAATCATTTGAATCGGAGCTTGGCGTACTGATGTCCCCATGCGCTCTTGTTTCCTTCTCTTCCTTAGTTTCTCGGTGCATGGAATCCCTTTATAGAGAAACCCAGTTTAGAAAAATGGCGAGGAGCCTCCTTTTAGCGAAATCGGCCACCACGAAGCGGCGTGTACGGGTGGGCCAGGTGGGTTAACATTTTTGTAATGAGCCGCAGCAGACTGTGGCCGCAAAGTGGCGTGAACCGGAGGGGAGATTGGGGGAGTTAACATGCTGTCTAGTGATACACATGCAAAGTAGGGGTTGCTTTCTTTAAGCAGCTTCCCCTTTTCGATAAATGGCGCTTCTCTAAACTGAGGCTCCGTTTTCTCTAAACGAGCTTCAATAAAACGAGCCTGTTCTCTTAAACGTGTTTCGATGAAATGGCATTTCATCAACCGTAGTAAACTCGAATTTGATGCTGCATTGTTGTTACCATGGCGGCTCGATGCGTCATCCCGTTGGCACGTGGCAGCGGCCTCTCGCCGGGCGCATGGACGCTATGACTTTGAGCAGTTCAGGCGGATTTTGTGACAGTCAGTAACAGCGGTTATTGACCTTCTTTGTAAAATATGCTTACAGAAATATTTGCATAAGTGGAAACACCTTGCCCGGCAGCGCTAAGTAAGCCTCTCCAAATTTCCGCTGCACAGTGCACAAAATAGTAGCGCGAATGCATTTGGCAAACCGGTTCGGAAGGGTTCTTTTGTTTTGCTCCTGTCAAGTTCAGCTCCTAAATGGCACCGAACATTTCTGTTTTGGTTTGGGCAAAATAAGCAGTTCAGTTCCGGTTACGGTTCGACAACCTGCATAGAGCGCATGAATATAATATATTTTAATTTTGAAAAATATAAGACACTGCAAAATTAAACTCAGAATTTCAGAGAATAGGGAATCTAACAAAAATAACCCCCAATAAACTAAATTTTCGGAAAAAAAAAAAAAAAGCATGCTCCGAATTTGATGAAAAATGAACTCCAAAAACACAGAATCCTAATTATATGCCAGTCATCCCAGGATAGGAAAAGTGTCAGCTTGAGTAATTTTATGTATTTGGGAACATGGGTTTATTATTCATGTAGCATAATGAAAATCAATCTTGTGAGCAAAGTAAAATTTAACTGCAATTCAATATGCCCTTATTCTTTCATTATACTATACATTGTAATATTGCACTATAAATCAACTGCTCTTTGGTGTCATACTATGTGCAAAATAACAAACCATTTCAAAGCTCTGAGTTATACTGTAAATTATATTTCATGGTGACTTAACTTATGAATTTGGCAAATCGAAAACAATTACAAAAAATGTATTGCACGAATCTATTGCCCATGGCAATTAATTCATGTGGTTCAGGGACCAGTTTATGCCCGATTGAAAAATATTGTTCCTGCAAAATATCCCAAAAAGCAGCACTTAGCTGCTGTTTACCATATTCTTAGATTCGATTAAACATAAAATGCCAACAATGAGTTGCACGCTAAAACACTGTTTTACTCTTTTTTGACATACAGAATGAGCTGATGAAAGAACTCTGCAATGATTTAAGAGCTCTCTCACCGGAAGAAATGACCAGGTTTCCAGAAAAGTACAAGTATGAAATGCCGCATTGGCTGGGGCTGATATGCTGGGATTAGGGTAAAATTGGTAAAAATTAAATTAGTATGATATGTTTCTCCACATATTGCAGGTTTGGTATCTTCTACTCAAGCATCTTAGCTGATCCTAGGAAATACTTACAATGGCTGACAGACCGGTGAGTTCTGTTTTTTCTCACTCAGGTCTCTCGACTAATATTTGAAGTGCTTTTTGCTAATGTCTCAAGTAAATGTATACATTCTAGGAACGCAAGGGCTTGAGTCATGGGGTTGGTGATATATCCAAAGTGCTTGTCAGCTTACTGCACTTCACAAGTATCTCAAGCATTTCAGGAGAACCATACACAAACTTCCCAAAATTTGTGTTGATCTTGCATTTATTACAAAATGAATAGGTGATATTGTAGTAAATGCATGCTAATTTATTGAAGATAAATGATTTTGCATTTGATCTTCCAGGATAACTGAGAGTGGTGGGCATTTCACAAAGAAGATGGTTCAGAGTCTCCAAGAAGTAAGTTCTTTAGTCAAATCATTACAATCTCATATTTGTTTCAATAATTGACATAATTACTTGGTTACATTCAGAAGTAATTAGGTACATAATTAGTTGGAGCCTAGGCTTTCAGCATGTTTAGAATAAACATTCGTCATGGATGCATACGCATATGCACCGAGAAAGAATTTAATAGTTTCAGTGAAATCGTTTTGAGTAGTTTTTTTGTTGTTGAATCTAAAATTTTCTGACTTGTATAATTTTTGCTTACATTTATTTTGAAATAACTTGTCAATGTTCAATTTGCATAAATTTTGCAAAAGCAGTGACATCCTCTTATGCTACGATTCGGCATGACATCTAACTGTATAGAGGTCAATTACATTTATGAAATAATGAGCATGAGCCCACAGGAAAGCAAGTATTCTCTGCCCTTACTTTTAGAGAGACGTTTTGAATGCACCAGGTACACTGCATGAGCGTGGTTCTAGCAAATGCCCACCTCCCAATTTCACCGCGATTGTCTCTCTCATTCTGAACAAGCACTTGCTTGGTATTTTATAGTAGGTAAGCATGTTGATTACACCATAGTATGGTGTAATCAAGTAAAGGAATATTTAATTTTTTTGCATGCAGAAACTTTAAGACTATTAAAGGGCAACTCCGGTTCATTTTCAGTATTAAGAAAACAATGCAATTCTCTTTAGTATCACCGAAAAAGACCACATGCCAAATATTTTTATCTAATTCTACCTAAAAGTTGGTGAAACTGGCAAACAAAGTTTGAGGTGCGTGAAATTACCAAAATCTGCTAATCCTAGCAGGCAAGGTGTGGCATTGCCAACAGCGCAGTCAATATCACTGTTTCGGCGCAGCCCACGCCGCACTACCTACGTCATACTCAGGCGCTCGGGAAGATTTGTTAGCTTGTTTTGTACATTTTCAAGGAAAGCCTACAGGCGGTGCTAGCAGCGTACTCATTGTCGGCCTTGGATTCGCGGAATGCACATGTGCTTCTGTGCTCCCTTGTGAGCATGCATCATTTCCAGCAGCGTCCATCGCGTGCTAGAGAGCCAGTTTGCAATGCTGACTAAGGCATAGTTCTACAAACACGTCGCGACATATTTCACGTGTGGTCTACTGAACTTCGCTTTCTACTAATGTTTTTAAAACAATCCCTTGGGAAAAATTGCCTTTTTCTGCACTAAAACAAGCTGCGGCCGCGATAGCGCAAGCGTCGTCAGGTGTAGCAGACTGCCGATCGTAGCAGACGACACTTTTGCCTTTGCACCGAGCTGCGCACAGCCGCCTGGTATGTGACGTCCCGATTTTACCAGGATTTTACCAAAACCGAAACCTTGCCCTTCGCAGGCAAGGTTTCGGTTTTGGTTTCTGGTGAATTTTAAATTAAGATTGCGCGAAAAATACTACACTTCTTTTGGAAAGAAATGATGTAGACCTGTTCATTACTACCTCGGGATATATAATCAACCATTAACTCAAATTTCTTGTCATTGACCGGAGTTGTCCTTTAAATGATTTTCATTTTCCTATGTATTGACTGCAGTACACAGAAGAAATGTTTCATAGTTGTATCGCTAGTGTGTTTGCTCATTTAATGTGGACTATTTAACATTTATTTCTGTTTACAACTTTTCTTGGAAAGGTGTGTAGTTTTGCATAAACATTTAACAGTTGTTAAAAAGTGCACCTTGAAAAATATGTTCCTTAATGCTACAGAAGGTCAGTTTCTGAAAGCTTCACCTTTTGAGTTTTGAGTTACTATTTGCAATGGTTCCGGACGTGTAACAGCAAGAGCTCTCTTGACATATCAGTATACTGCCACCATTGAACTCGTGCTCTTAAACTTTAAACAGTCCTTGCCATTTGTGCATATAATCTATCAACCCCGGAGCATGTAACACCTAAGTTACATCTAACAGGTCATGACGTCACTTTAGATTTACTGTGGACATTATGTGCCAGCATGGGGACAGTCAAATTGGCTAATGATCAATGAAAGACCTGCGATTTCACATTTCTCATGTGAGTGTCGGTGAACATGTCAGCCTTTTTTCTCTCTTCCTCTTTCTTTTGACTAGGCAGAATGAAAAAAGCAGTCATGAATTTGGAAGCTACCTTTCATTTCATTCTAAACTATTTTTCTTCCCTCTTTTTCTCAAGGTTGGAAAGGAATTTGACATTGTGGTGAACTGCACAGGCCTTAGAGCTAAGAAGCTTACTGAGGATTTCTTGCTTACCCCCATCAGAGGACAAGCAATCAAGGTAAATTGATTTTCAACTTGGAGTCTATGTTAATTTTTGTGCGCTTCGAGTCCTATTATTTCCTGTCCAGTTCTGCCAAGTACCTGAAGCCTTTTGCCACCACCATACAGAGGCGAATGAACACATTCAAAGATGATCTTGTGTTTTGAAATTGCCTGAGAATGTTAAAGTGCTTGTGGACGTTTTCTGCTGCTTTGAAATACCTCCAAACAGTTTTACAATTTAGTGTGCATACATGTCTTGTGGGAAGCATGATAAATTTAGAACACAAACTCTAATAGTGGTCATATTGGCCTATAGTTAAAAGAAGCCTTGTCCATTGTGAATAGGTGTATATTAATATTTTCTAGTTCTAGAAAGGATGCAAGAGTGAAGTCATTTATTCACAATTCTCCCAGATGTGGCAGAGCCAGAAATGAGACCAACCTGCCCAGTTCGGTAGTTCAAACTCTTTGGGGAAGCATTTTCAATTCCTTCAGTCAGTGGACTCCTCTTCACCTCGGAATTGTACCCCATAGCATGTATTTGGGTACCGTATGTTGGATCTTATGATGCATCATAGGTGTGGTTCCAAAGGCTGATAGAATTTTGGGCAGAAATCTTGTGCAGTGAAGGCCCTTCCGATATATTCGTTTAGGTTCTTGGGAGCCTTTCTTACCTTTCCTATCGTATGCTGGAAATATACAGGCCAGAATACAACTTCCAACCAGATATTATGCTCAAGCTTAACATATGATAAAGTGTTAATCTCCTAAAAAATTTTCTACTGACCCAGGAATAAGTGCACTTAAAAGCTACTGCTAAGTGCTCCCAGAAGGGCATTCTGATATTTTAATGAAGGTTTCGTTTTCTTTACAGATACATGCCCCCTGGGTGACTCAGTTCTTCTATGCTGATGGATGTTATGTACTCCCAGGGTGAGCTGCAGGCACTCTTTTTGCCTTGGTTGTTGGTGTTGAAGGGAAAGAAAAAGACCAGCTCTGCAATTCTAAGGTGTGGGTTCTTAAACTGAGTTCCTACGAATCTAAGGGTTCCCCAGAGTGCCCTTGTAAGTTCCCCGAGCCCCCAAATTTCCTCGGTCGTCCCAGCCCCCAAGAAAAGTGTTTTCCAATTGAAGCACCATTTTAGCTGATCTGGGCTACCCAATGATGCATAGCTGTGAGCCAAACGCTTCCAATGCACGCGGCTCTGACATCACGTCTTCACAGCAGTGCTGCCATCAGCACAGCGCATGCACAGAGGGTTCACTCCAGCGAATTTGGTTTCTGCACATGCGCAGTTTCCGCTTCAGGTGTGGGTAAACGCCGACTTGTTTTTAAGCATTGTGTGGGTCTATGCTCTGTTCATCGCTAAGCTGACTGGATAGTGGAAGCTATGTGCTCGTTGGACCAGTCATTTGTCAATCTTTCGCCATGTGATGTCGCTCCCACCCATACCCACATGCAAAAAGATGGTTCAGGTTATAAAAGGTGCATGCGATTGATTAATACTGCGAGTGCGTAGCTCCCACCACCCTGTTATCTTAAAGGGTAAATGGGGCAAATAGTATGTGCATCATTGTTGACATTTTCCATAGGCTTCTGCCCTGCTTTATTTTGTCAATGCCGGGACTGAGAGGCATTCCTCAGCCGTCATTTGAGGCTGATAGGGTTTCCTTGGGCCCGTAAAATTTGAAAACCCCCAGTCTAAAACAGAGTGGTTTCTCAAGTAAATGACTGAATCTTACTAAATCTTCAAAGTGGTAGTAAAAGTCAGTTTTTTCTCAGCAATATAGTCTTGGTATTAGAGAATGCACACCAATGTTAAGCACCAGAAAAATTAAATTTTTCGTATGGGAAATTTTTCATAGACAGTATGCACCTTCTTACAACCTTTAAAATGTAGTTAGACTCAATTTACACCAGCTTGTTTGTGCACTTACTTTTTGTGTATTTCTTCATTGACTTATTGTCGTGTCGATCAGTTGCTCATACAGGGAGTGGCCGTAAGGACCAGTACATTTGCAGTGATGTGATTGCTGCGCCATTTGCGCCAAACTGCTCCAAAGGGCTTACCCTGCTACATCCTGCTACATTTAGCCCAAATGTGAGGAACTTGCGCCAGCATTGCACCAAAACCTGATTTCCCTTTATCAATACTGAAAATATAATGGCTCAGGCCCCGCTACACGTCCGGATCATTATGGTAGGCTTGTGAGAATTACTTTTTATTTTAGCCAGAAATAACATACTATCCTATTTGATCTCTCTTTCAGTTTAAGCATTGCAATTTTGATTATCTTGCTTCGTTGCAGTGCATCCAAGTGTTAAAGGGAAGGCATTCCCTCAGAGCGGGACGTTAAACACGCAAGCTTCAGGTACATTAAAAAAAGCAACTTTATGAGTTTTAACGTAACAGCGCTTAGTTGCATTCAAATTTTCCTAATTAAACTGGCAGCTATTACTTATGATAGACTGCGGTATTCTGGTGATATCTTTTTCAAATTCAAGATTCAGCAAGGGTAATCGCAAGAAAATTTATGTGAATAGACCCTTTCCGAAATTCACTCTGGCCACTTTAATCAATATCATGATCTGAGGAATGGAATATGCGTTGTACTAATGGCGGTCTTGTGGTTACTGATTATGGAATTAAGACGTTGAAGATGCAACGAGCATCTGGTATAGGACGTAGGAAATGCACGACCACCGTTTTCGCTCCATTTTCAATAATTCACCACCCCTAAGTTGAACTCTTAAAAAAAAAATAGACATAAAATTTTTTTTAAACCGTCGTTTGCGTGCCCAATTTCAGATATGTACGTTTAGAATTTGAACTTTGTGAGGTGTGCCAAATATGCTGATCCTTGCAGCTACTCCCTGTATGTGTTTGCAAAATTTTCTTCCAACATGCTGGTACCAATCATACTGTTTGCCGCAGTGAAAACTTACGACTGTGAAAACGCACAGAAAAGTGTTGCCATGTTGAGCTTTCACCAGCTTGCTCATGTCATTGGCATTCTCTCACTACTCTTCCACTTCTTATTTCTTGTAGCTGTATTGCTCTGCTGAGAGTAGTGTACCAACATGTGTCTGGCCTGTGTCTTTCAGGACAGAGTATGTTACCTTAGGTGGCATCAAGCAGTTTGGGGACTGGAACATGCAAGTGTCACAGCACGATCGGAAATACATCTGGGAGAACTGTGTCAGTGTTGTTCCAAGCCTAAAGGTAGGTTTTTTGTTTTTGTTTCTACTAATAAATTTTGTTACATACATGCAGTGAACTTTCCTGAAAATGACTGGTCTATGGCTTTTCAACAGTTGTCAAATCTGAAACAAAGCTTTTGAATATTTTCCCATACACAGAATTAAATTTGTTATTTTTTTCTTCTCACTATTCAGAGACTTGTAAGGTGGCTCTAGTGTTCTTGAAATGGCCTTGAAGTGGCACATCTTCACCATTCTTAGCACTTTTTTGTGGAAGTAGAATGATTACTAAAGGTTGTTGCCATCTTTAAATTATATCATGTTCTGATAATTCCAAAACAGCTTGCTTATCCTTAACTCTCCAAGTAGGGAATGACAAAGTATAGAGCAGGAGTGGCCAAGCTGTGGCTTGCAAGCCGCATGCGGCTCTTCGCGTGTTGAACTGCGGCTCGCGGCTTCCTCCCCTCTCCCCACACACATGCACACACCCTCCCCTGCCTTCCTCCCGGTCACACAGGCACTTCCCCAAAAAGATAAATAGAATGCGCTTTAAATTGAAAGACAGATTGCGGTTTGTAGTCATGTGCTACTGCTACCTTACGTACAGTTGGACTGCTTTTGACTCGGATAGATTGAAAGTAGTTTGAGTTTCATTAATTCCTCTAAACAAAAGTTGCCCCCCTCCCCTCGGCGCAGCTCCTGGAAGTTTCCTGGTTTTGTTTGCGGCTGTTAGGCCGGGTCAGCCTGGCCACCCCTGTTATAGAAGTTCTAATGTTTATCTCCACAATTGGCACTCGCATAAACTACAAATTTATTTCTGTGTTGCTTTGTGCAAGCAGTGTTGTTTTTTTCTGCTAAAGGGCCATGAAAGAAATATAGTAATTAAGTAGGCACACACAAATAGTGGTTTTTGAGTTTGAAGCAAATTCGATGGGAATAGTGGTTTTGGCAAAATATTTTCAAATCACATAGTTTCTCCAAGCCTTTCACTATTGCACCATGCTTCAACAAAAATCCAGCTGAACTTGTGAAGATTGTTTCCAAGCTTCCACTTGCCCATTTGTAAGCTAAGTTCATCTTAATCTAACTATATGGACTCAGAAAGTTCAATGCCCACATTGGGAAGGCAAAGAAGTGATGCATTTCACATAAAATTAAACCAACAGAGATGCCCTACTATACCTAATTGATGAGATATATAAATCTTCTCGCCAAATACGAATATCCTTCCTTCAGCCTCGAATTTCAGTCTCAAATTCGATAGTTCAAATTCGAACTACCAAAAAAGAAAAGAAAATCACACATGATTAATGCAGTTTGTCAGGGCATCTCTGCATAACATATACTCTTGCATAATAGCCACAGTTAATTTCGAAAATTTTACTACAATGTAGATATCAAAATTAACAAAGTTTCCGTTTCTTTCTAAATACCCCCTGCGCGTGTGCACCATCCCACTTTGAAAGTGTGCTTGTTTCCTAAGCATGCAGCTGATATTTGTACTTTTCCAAGATTGTCGTGGGTTGGCCCTGTTGAGTGCGCTTCCTACTTGGCACTGGTGCACTGCGGAGAAGCAACACCCGCCGAAGCGAGTTTTGCTAGTGTTGCTTTTCCGCAGTGCACAGGTGCATGTTTGGTAAGGAATGCAATCAACACTTCGAAAAATATTAATATTGCAGTTCATCTCGAAGCAAATATTGAATAGCTTATTATTCGAAACTACAATTAAAATATTTGCGTGATCCTATAATTAAGCCTTCTATTTTTAACGAGGCTGTGGATCTTTGCCGAATCTCCTTGACTCGACTACCTTAGTGCTTGCTACCTTTTATTCTCGCCTGCCTCCTCATGTGTTTTGTGGTCTCTTATTTTCTATCAGGATGGCAAGGTGGTTCAGGACTGGGTTGGTCTGAGGCCATTTCGTCAGCCCATCAGAGTCGAGGCAGAGCTGCTAGGCTTTGCTCCGAACCAATGCAAGGTAATCACTTGTATGTGCTCGGTCTTATGCTAGTCCCCTTTTAGTACGCATGGACAAAGGGTAGCAGCTGTCGCAGCTGTTTCCTTGTATGAGCATTGATCCTCAGTCCATCTCAGATGTTACCTCCCTAACTCTGGGAAGACAACAGTGGAAGAGGGGAGAAGGGGACACTGATATTTTTTTTTTTTTCACTTTTGAACTTATAGATATGTGTAATGGTGTGATAAAAACACTGGAGAACTGGTCAGTATTTAACTCAAAAAACAAAGGCAGTTATATTCATACCAAAAAATATGCCCTTTCCCACACATCAAGATATCTTAAATTCACGTGGTACTGAAGAGGTGGAGAATTTCAAGTGCCTCGGTGCCATATTTTTTGTCAACATGTTATGGGATAATTGTGTAAACTACCTTCTAACAAAAATAGCCAGTTGGTCATATTAGTTATGCCTTCCTTCCACGGAGGCGCTGCGAGCGGCCTTACCACGCCGGACACGCCAACAGAACGCTCCGTCCTAAGGATCGTTAAATCCCCAGCTACAAGGGCTAACCGCCTTCAATCCTTGACAATGCCGATTCTACTACCTCCAAGGAACCTCTGGGAGAAGATTTAGCGGCCGGTGAGCTTTCCTTTTGGAATTATCCGCCCACGATTCTCGCACCCTCCCGGCGCCTCAAGTTAAGCCTTACGGCTAAGCCGCGCGAGCGGTACCGGCTGTGAGCGGCGCCGGCTGCGCGCTCCGAGCACCGGCTCCTCAAGCTCGCTGCCGTGCATTCGTCGTCGTGCTAGGAGCGAGCGCTTAATCCCCAATCACCCGCCATGCAAGAAGAGGACGCATCCCTCAAAGAAAAATGGCAAACGGTGTACGGAAATCCACGCCGCAAGACCACGAACATCACAACTGTCATTATCTGACCCACCGGACTTCTCCTCCGCGACGCTCAGCCGCATCACGTCATGCAGGCCCTAGTCATGGCTGCGGGCCTCACGCCAGGTGAAATGACCGACTCCATGCTGCAAGTACAAGCTCCCCAAAACATACTGGCTTTTAAAACCCTTCGCCCAACCGCTGCAGCCAAAATCCTCGACAACAAGCACTTCATACTAAATAATCGGGACCACCTGTACACGTCCTACACCGCTGCCCCAACAATATCGTGCAAAGGTGTGATCCATGGCGTCGAGGCTTCGACACCAGAGAAGACCCTTCAACGGTACCTCATCCCCATTTGCGCCAATATCAGTACCGCCAGAATGCTAGTACGAACCAAATCGGTCCTAATAACCTTTGAAGGTACCTACGTACCAAAGATTGTCTGCTACGGCCAAGCCAAGTTCAGATGCTACCCCCACCGCCCAAAGGCCCAGTTTTGCAGTAGGTGCCACCTCCTTGGACACCGAGCCGACGTATGCGCAAACCCACCTGACACCATTCTTTGCGCTCAATGCTTCACTCCGCTAAACAGCACAGACGAACCACATGACTGCCATGTTCACTGCAAAACATGCAGCGGCGATCACCCCACCACATCCACGCAATGCCCAGCACGGTTGCAAGCCAACACCCAGGCAGTCAAACAAGCGTACGAACGCCGCATCCAGTTAGGAAGACCACGGCACAAGACCTAACCAAGCAAAAGCCACCACCAGCAAGGCAACACCGACCTCGATCACGATCGAGGACACCGGCTCGCCGCCCAACCACTCCAAGACCTAAAACCCCATCCAAGGTGCGGGGGAACCCAGCCCCAAATTCGAATCCACGCCGAGACCAGGCACAGCCAAACCACTTGCAGCAACTCCAGTCCAGAACTTCCAGCTCACCACAACAGGTGAGCCAGCCACTCCCTCCTCCCTCCCCTTCCCCCGACCACACGAGTGATTCAACTGCCCTTCTCCCCGCATCAGCATCTTACCGCGACGCACTAGCACCCCCATCACTGCGTACCACGCAACCCTCGCCGACACCCACACAACTCATGACGAATATTGAAACTCTCTTCACAACCCTCTGCAAACAATTAGCCGCGCTCCAGCAACACATTACCACCCTAGAAACTCAACAGGAGTAACACGAGCAACGCCTCGCAGTGCAAGACAGCAAAAATGCTTCTATGGAGGCTAAGCTTGATCGCATACTCCGTCTACTCCGCAAATCATGCTCGCACTCCCCGGGCACAAGCACTAATACGCCGAAACAATGCCGAGACAGTACCTCATCTGTTACATCTGACCACTATAACTAAGCCTACATCACTCGTCATGTGGCAATGGAATTGCCGTGGCCTATGCACTAAACAATCATCACTACAACTCTACACACAGCAGCACGCATCCCCCCCCCCCCCGGCATCATTGTATGCCAAGAAACATTCCACCTATTTAAACTTGCCGGCTACACCACTTACCACCACGGAGACGGCACCGACCGTACCAAGCTAAATCTGCTCACATTAGTTAGCAAATCCCTCAGCTCCACCCAAATAGATACTGCCCATCTATCTGACGAGCACACGCTCACGCTCGGAGTGGTGGTACAACCGGACAAAAGACACCCCACAACACTTCAGATACTTAACGTATACCATCACCCAAGACAGCCCTTACGACGAGCCAAACCGATCTTCACACCTCATAACAGCAAAACACATGACACCCTGGTATTAGGAGACTTCAACTGTCCGCATGTCAGTTGGGGCTACCCCCGTGACACACCGAACGGCAAAACACTAGCCTCTGCCAGTCAGCAAGCACAATTCACCCTCTTAAATGACATACACTTCCCTACAAGACTCGGTAATTCTGCTGAGCGCGACACCAATCCAGACCTCGCCTTCTATAAAGGTGTGTACACTCCGGATTGGTCGAACACTCGGGAAACACTCGGCAGCGACCACAACATTCTTACCATAACACTACATCAACCCAAAAATACACCTAGATACACACACACATCCCTAACAGATTGGGATGCTTTTCGCACTGATATGTCCCCTCCGGATCCGAACATGAACCCTGATGAATGGCTCGACTCGCTTGTCAGGCACCAGCGGAAACACACCAAAAAAAATATATACCACTGAACAAGCGCCATACATAGACCCCCATCTCACACACCTTTGGGAGGCCAGACGCTCGTTAATCAAAAGATGGAAAAAAAAAAAGAAATCCAACCGGAATCTAAAGAAACGCATTCAGGATACTACTTAAAAGCAGAGAGCTATGCCCAACAACTTACACAACAGAGCTGGGGGAACCTCTGTGACTCGCTAAACACCCAAATGGGCTCAAAACACGCTTGGGCACTGTTGAGGAGTCTAATTCAGCCTTCCTCACCCAAGGATCCCCTATCTAAAATTCTTCTGGCCACGGACACCAACCCAGAAATACTAGAACAAGAACTTATTAGGGCTCTCTACTCCGACAGCACACCCACTCCAACAAGTAACCTCACACCTCGACAGTTTGATGTAACCCCACTAGACTCCCCTTTCACACTAGGCGAACTAATGAGTGCTCTTGCCTCCTTCCGGCGAAGCACCACTCCAGGGGAAGACGCTGTCACATATAAATTGCTCAAGAATCTCCCCAAAACAGCCCACACTAAATTGCTCGAGATATTCAACATAATATAGGACACCGGGCAAATACCGGCCAAATGGAAACACTCTAAAATCATACTCATCCCTAAACCCGGAAAGCCACTGACTCCACAAAACCTTAGGCCCATCTCTCTGACATCTTGCACTGACAAGCTGTTAGAGAGAATGGTCCTCACAAGATTAGAATGGCATTTGGAAACAAATAACATCTTGCCACCTACGCTCACAGGCTTCCGCCATCACATATCTACACAGGACACACACCTTAGATTACACCACGACATCCTCGAACAGCCCAGCTCAGCCCAACTACGCTGTATTTTGGCCTTAGACATTCGCAAAGCGTTTGACTGCGTAAACCACGAAATCATATTAACAAACCTGGCCAAAACAAACTGTGGCACAAACATATATAATTACATCAGAGACTTTCTCAGCAACAGATCGGCCACCTTCCATATACCGGGGCACAAATCAACTCCCTTTTACCTCACTCGCGGCACCCCACAGGGCTCGGTTCTGTCCTCGACTCTGTTCAATCTAGCCATGCTCAACCTTCCCCAACAACTGAACGAAATCCCGGACCTCCTCCACTCAGTTTACGCTGACGACGTCACCCTCTGGACGAACACCGGCTCGCCCGGAGAACAGGAGGGTGCCTTGCAGGCTTGTTGCGATAGGGTCTCCAACTACGCCGCCTCCCTGGGCCTCACCCTGGCTCCGGACAAGTCGGAGCTTCTCGTCGTTTCCAACCGACGGGGAGCTGTTCCAGAGCGGGGCCTCATCAACCCGACTATTAACGGCCAGCCCGTCCCTCACAAACCCACAATCAAAGTCCTAGGCCTTGCTATACAACAAAACGGCAGGGCACACGGTACATTAGCCAAACTACACACACGAATCCAACAAATTATACATCTCATAAGCAGAATATAAAAAAAAAAACCAAGGCCTCTGTGAAAACCATATCTTCAAAATAATAAACTCTTTCATCATCTCCCAAATTCTATATCTGCTTCCCTACCTGCAGCCCACTGCCTCACAGCTCCAAGCAATAGAAAGAGCTCTCCGGAAACCCTATCGCCTCGCGCTGGGGGTCCCACAGTATGCCTCGACAATACAAGTCATCGGGACGGGAACATACAACACACTTGACGAGCTCATACCACTGCACTTAGCGTCCCAGTTACAACGCCTAAAAACGTCCAAGCAGGGCAGACATATATTGTTCCTCATCAACTACGAAACCTCCACCCTCCCAGACATCCCCCAAGAACCACCCCCGTGGAACATCCTCCCCAATATCCAGGTAGAGCCTATCCCAAGAAACATGGACCCCGACAGGAACAAAAAGCGCCGAAAACTCAGAGCACGAGCTCTTGCACAACGAGTACT